TTAGCTATTTTTTTTTGTTTCGGCTCTATGTGAAGTTACTAAAACCAAAGGATTTGACAAATGGCACTGAAGCCACTGTGGGTGATGTGTTGGCTCTGGTGTGGCTGCTCATGCACCAGACGCGGAGACGCTGACACATGATGTAAGGGAACAACATTCATGGGCCAAAAAAAAGATTTTCAGTCCCAAACCTCAAGACAGAGTCAAGTCTGAAGTCTTTGAGGGGGCAATTCCAAGTCAAGTGTCAAGCCACAAGTGCGTGTGACTTCAATGTGACTCGAGTCTAAGTCTTAAACTAGAGTCCTCTAGTGTCTCTATTGCCTCTTGTTATAGACAAGTGAAGCCAAAATACCCCTTGTCGGGGGCCTGCTGACAAGCGGTTAGTGCGTGTGCCCCATGTAAGGAGGCTTAAGTCCTCAAGAGCTGACGGTCCTGCTTCGAATCCTATGGCTTCTTTCCCACATGTCGTTCCCCACTCTCTCTCTCTCTCCCCTGGTTCTGACTATGTCCACTGTCCTTATCTCTAAAATGAAAAGCTAATCACGGTACCAGTCAGATGCAATATAAGTCACAATTAAAGCTATCCAGCAGTTTCAAGAGCGGGACTACTCATCAACAGTTCCTCTTCCAACATTTTTATACATACCTTTAAACCCTTTCCTCCTCTATATCGCTATGGTGCTAGGGCACTTATTACAAATTTCCTACTAAAGCTTCCCCACGACACAGACAACAAGCGTTATGACTCCTAGCAAGACCAATCTTTGAACATCAACCCTTTTTTATTCATTTTGATTCTCCCAGAAAAAAGCTTGCCGTCAAAAATCACACTGGGCCAGCAATATGCCACCAGATAGCTGATTCAAGTGGCACTAGGGGTGGCTGACCAGAGTTCAAGGGGGACACATACCAACCCTGACCAACTCCTGGAAATTTAGATACGTTTTAAAAGGTCTGGTGGTTTTTTGTGTCTGTCTTTCTCCCTTGTGCGCAAAACAAACCTTGATTAAGTGTTAGGGATAATGCACTCCTAATATCTTCTACTAATTGTCTCTATCAGATAAAACACAAGTAAGGAAAAACTCTGATAGATACTGACAGGTTGTCACAAGGTGTGATACAGTACAGTCTGGGTGCGTATAACTAAATTGTGTGTGTTTGAGACAAATTACTGAAGCTAATTAAAGTCCCAATTTATTTCTGTTCTCGAGGGTAAGGGCTGGCCTGGATGACTGACATTCAGAAGGGAGAGAAAACGAGATTGTGTGTGTTTGTGTGTGAGTGTATGTGCATGAGCTTTGGATGACAGTTATAAGTACTTCAGCATACGATCTGGTCATGCCAGAGTTCACACAGATGTTCACACATGTAGTGCTTTCCCACTTGCACAAAAACCCTTAAAAAAAAAAAAACTAAAGTTTTCAGGTTGAGCTGCATATGTGAACGCAAACAGCTGAATTTCTCACTCGGACTGTATCCGGGGTTTCTCCTGCCAGCCCCCTGGTATTATCTCTGCAGAAAGTCAGAGTGAGCTGATGTGAGAACACAGCAGGATATAACCAGCTGGTTATAATAATAATCATCAGCAGCAGCTGGTGATATTTATTCCCTGCGATCGATGTAATACTAAACCTGAATGCAAGTGACCGGTACGATCTAAATGCACAAAATTAAACTGCTACATTGCATTTTTCTGATCACCTGTATGTTCTTCATCCCTCTTTTATCAACCTACAAGTAGCATTGGTATAAAGTATTTTCTTTATAGCATCATATAGCCCGTTGCTTCATCCTCCTCGTTCCTTTACATCATCTCTCAGGAGACCCCCTTTCCACCTCCCGTCCCAACCGGGATAGTATTCCGCTGTGAGGAGAAAACAGCTATATACCGACTCACTCAAAAAGTAAAAATAGCAATAAACTGTAGCTCTTTTTTTCCCCGACACTAAATAACCACCAGAACACAACCGTACAGAAAAAAAGAAACTAAACCGTGTTAGAACAGCTGAAAGTCCACTCACGTTTTGTGGAGCAAATCACTTGGCAGAAGAGACTGCATGGACTCAGGCCAAAACAGAAATTCCTCTTCATCTGGTACGAGAAGAATTTTTCTGGCAGTTGTTGAAGGCTGCTAAATATGCAGTTATGTCAAAACAACTGTCCTCTTCAGCTCACAGGAGACGAACAGGCACACATCCCAGATAATGAGCTAAATTGCTTTCTTTTCTTAGCCGCTTTTTTAGAATATAAATGCCCGCCCTTTAAAATCCCAAAACATAAAATGATGTTTTACCTTTTCAACTTTCACTTACACCATGCCATTGATATATTACTTCTATTTTACTACTATTATAACTACAACAAAACAAACACCCACTCTTACTCTTTCTTATGTGGGTATATATTGTTTTTGTGTGAACAAGTTTATTCCTACCTGCTATGCTGCAAGATTTTAACTGACAATTCATCAGAGGAGATGTGTAGCACCATATCTGAATACAAAAAAAAAGACATTTAACATGGTAGCTGCAAATCAGTTCTGAGACTCTGATGAGTGGAACATTTCAAGTTCCTGTTTTGCTATTTTGCATGCTATTGTTTTGCTATTTTGCATGCTATGCTATGCTATTTTTTGCATGACACATTTTTTGAAGCCATGATTTTTATGTTTACTTTACAGAGAAATATTTCAGCTGACTTGTTGCACGTGACCTTTTTTCCCTGTGAGAGACATGTGGGCCTCTTTGCCACATGTAGCTGCTGCTGCGAGGCATAGCAGCATCAGCAGCTGTCAGTGAATCAAACGGACATTTAGTGGAAAAATACCATAATTTCTGACAAATTTCAGCTAAAAAATGGATAGGATGACATATTCCAAACCAATCTAGCAAGCTAAAATACTATATTAAATACAAAGGTTACCTGAGGTTGGATTAAACTGGTATCAGTAAGGATGTGAAGGTTTAAGCTATAATGATATCATGATTGATTCTGCGAACCAGTCTGATTCTTTTACAGTTCTCTTATTGATTTCTGACATAAGAAATGTAGGCCTATACAGTTTGGGTTTCAGTATCATAGTAGCTACATTATCATGGCTGAAAAGGAAGACTATATGATATAAAATATCATATGGATATAAAATATACTCGGGCAATATGACTTAAAACTTTTGCTTTCAAAACAATGTGTAAAGCAGGCAATGGTGTAAATCATAGATAACAACTCAATTATCCTCAATTGAGCAGTGCCTCATGTTCATATAAAACAGATGAATACACTGATCAGGCAAATAGAATTTAGAGAACTTATCATGAACTATAAAATACATATATGGATTTTCACATCCTGACAGAGCCTTGGAAATCTTTCATTTGACGAAAAAATAAAAAAATAAATTCAACAAATATAAAATAAAGCCTGTTAGCTAGATAACACGTTGGTTAAAAGGCCTGACCTAAGTTTCTCAAGCTAAAAGTCAAATGAAACTAAGACTTAAGACCATTTGCCATGTTGGCCTGAATACCTGGAATATCAGATTGTATTCAGTTTCACTTCAAAAGTTGTTGAATGGATTAACACCCACATCACAACTGTCATACTCAAGTATCTCTCTCACTCTTCTCTCAGCCTATTGTCTGTCCACCCCCAACTACTCTATTTCCTCTTCCACCATTTAAGTGAACTGTGTGAGTCGATGAGTCAGCTCGAGTGGTGGGAGTGAGATATTAAACTATGTGGGTGGTGTGTGGGTGGAGGGAGGGGGGGAAGAATGTAAAAAAAAACTGAATGGAAAATAAGAAAGGAAAGTAGAAGAGACTTTCCACATTTACACAGACCCTACAGGTGGGCAGGGTCATTTGTTTTGATTCTTTTAACACACTTGTTTTTATGTCTCCCACTGTGTGATGAAGGGCATTACTGGGGGGAAAGAAGGGGGTAACACAGATAGAGAAGTGTATCCTGCATATGCTGAAAGCTTGACCAATAAGAGTTTGTTGACGTCATTAAAAAATCATTATGAGTTTGTTATATTATTAGCAAGATAATTGTTTATCCTGGGGTTCACAGTTTCCCCCCTGGGTCATGGTCTAATTACTGTCGTAGAGATCATCTTTCCACCATGTGATACACACTAGGAGGATAAACCACAAAGAATAGATATAGAAAATAGAAAATCTAAACAACAGTGTCAACTGACAAGGTGCAGTCATATCACCCAAATATGACTCTGCAAGCGTCTTCAGCCCGTTGTTTGCAAACAATTTGCATGTGGAGTATGTGTATGTGTTTTCAACTGTTGCCGTGGCTAAACGGGTACATTGGCGAGGGGAATGTATTATATTCTAGTTGAGATAGGTGGGCAGAGATGGGTAAACTGGCTTCTTTTTATAACTGAAGGCTTGTGTGTGAACTATTGCCGTAAAGCTTTGCACCTCGGCCAGCTGCCAAAGTTACACAGTGCAGTAATCAGGCGATTGGGCTGCGTTGTGGACATGGGAAACGCTGTTCTCCCTACTACTATACTGTAGTAATATAGTAGTAATGTAACATATTGTTGCTTTAAAAGAAAAGAAAATGGAGGATAGAAGAAGGGAACAAGAATAAAAAAATTAAATTGCAATGAAAACAGGGGGGGAAGTTAGAAGTCAACAGAATGGGAGAAAGGGGCGGAGCTACACAAAAGAAAAGAAAAACTAAATAGATACAAAGGACGAAATAATAGAGGCAAACAAAAAAAACGAGAAGCTGGTAGAATTCACAAGGAAGAAGTAAGAAAATACACAAAGAAGGGTTGTAAGGGGTAGAAAAAGAAAAGCTTGGAGCAGAAAATAAAGAGGAAAGTAAAGAGGAAGGAGAGCATTAAAACGTGTAAAGTCAACGAGTAAAAAGGAAAACATTTAAACAAATACACAACAAACAGAAGGAGAAAACAACACAGACCATTTAAGGACAAAGAGGAAAAGCTTCTACAGGGAGGAGCGACGACTGCGCTTTACCTGGCGTCTGCCTCGCTGTAATACTCTCTGGCTACGATGTCCTCAAACAGTTCACCTCCGGTCACCCTGCAAACACACACACACACACACACAGAAAAACACTCATTAAATTGCAATGCTTCAATTGATATGAGTTAAGCGGAGAGGGGGCTATGAAGGCTATAAAGCAAGGATTTAAACTTCATTTCTTGTTTCCTACAGCAACCCCCCCACCCCCACTCCCCACACTGTTACCATGGAAACAGTAGGGAATTGCCAAGAGATGGATGTGGAGAGCGGGGGTGGTGGTGGTGGTTGTGGTCTTGGGGGGTGGGGTAATATAGGAGAGAAAGTTATATAATTGTATGTACAGGCAAGAAGAAGACTTACAAGTCAAAGAGGAGGTAGTGGAAGCCCTCCTCTGATATACTGTCATGTAGACGAACTGGAAAAGAGAGATACACATACAGCCACAGAGAATGAACAAAGTCAAAATGGCATAGAAAACATATTAACATAATATTTAACCATAATATTACAAAAAAATCATAATTTAAAACATCAACATCAAAGACAGATCCAGACATAACAACATTGCATCGCTGAGGAAATCATATTAAAACATTTGTATCTTTCTAACAACTAACTATTTGTAAAAGATATGAGTCCACGTTATAACAGAAACATACTTTTTTACATTTTAAAGATAGATAACTCAGGTCTTTATAAACCATCAACTGACTATCTTACCTCAGTCCACCGAAGACCATTTGGGTGGAAAAGTTGTCGTAATTAAATTCTGTGTGGCATTAAGTTAGTAAGCGGGCTCATCTTCATTTTCATGCTGCTATTTTCTTAATTGCACTTCACCTACGTGACGTGTCTTTAATCAGCCTCCTTCTACAAACCAGTAGGAGGTTCTGACAAAAAAGGCGTCTACAGAATTGAATGCACACTACTGTATACTGTTCCTCCTGCCTTTTTCTTAAAATCATATACAGATGTGTTCTTTTGTAATCAAAAAATATATGGTTTCACCTTATATGACGTTTATAGTTAAAACTGGTCCCACTTAGTAGAAAACTAGAGGAAACTTTTCATTTTGTAACGAGAGGTAATAACAGGATGTTAAAATCACATCATAACTTTAAAGGGATTGGTTATACACATGTTTTTTATTCAGATAAAGGTTTTACTATTTCATCACAGAGACCAGAAATAGCAAAAATTGTAAAGACACATCCTCACCAATGTTAGGGTGTTTCAAAAGACGACAAATTCGAGCCTCTCGCTCCAACTTCTGGTGGTCTGAGAAGCAAAAGAAAGAGAAGTTATTTTTATAATCAGGGGCGGTCAAGTTAATCATGAAAATGTCAAAACACTGTGGTCAGACAGAGCATTTAGAAATGTGTCCAAAATCCATTCCTCTATGGCCCAGACTCACAACAGTATCTTCAATGAAAGCTGAAGTAAAATAATGAATAATCAAATCAAAGGTGTGACATTACATTTTAACGTCTATTAAAATGAAGGTTGGTAATACAATAGCCCAGGTCTATTTAGGCAGCAACACTTCTAACCTTAGAAACCAACGTGATGAAAAAGTACATACTGAAATCAACTTACACCAAATGTATAAAGAAATGTGAACTCATGGTTTTAAAAATCCAGCATTGTCAATGGCTGGCATTAAAGGTGCCCTTCTATGTTTTGTTGAAAACAAACATTTTTGTTGTATTCCTTATTCACAGAGTGTATTTCCTATAGTATGACATTTCTTCATCATAAAACATAATAAAATATATTTACTATCTAACAGTGGTATTTTTGCCTGTGTCTGTCAGCATTTCTCTGCCACCTGCAGATCATTGAAAAAAACATTACACTAACAAAAAATGTTACCAGAAAAAAATATGAATTCATACTTTTCCAAGGGTTGCCAAAAGTAACAATACTTTTGTCACTGTACTGCCCAGAGCCGTGGACCTATTATTTATCATTATTATATTATGCATTGTTTCCCCTACCATTATATTGGGGGGGGGGGTGCCCCCTGAAGGTCAGGTAACAAAATAAATTAAAATAAATGATAGTAGATAGAGTAGGAAATCAGGGTAAGAAGTCATTTAAGGATACCTTTCCGATAGAAAAGGATAGCTGTCATTAAAAGTAACACATGAACGCCAAGATTCCTTCAAGTGTTTGTGTCGTCATGTCGGCTTGTCCCCACCCCCCCAACGCTGTAAACCTAGGGGAAACACTGTTATGTGTTTTTTTTTTATGCAGGTGTTTTTTTTAGTTTTGCTCAGAGCGGAAGAGAGGCTGAGGAGAAATAGGCGAACTGGGGGCTGAACGAAAGAAACATTTATTGTTGTTTAATGCACCATGAACTATATCGATATATATATGATATTGTGTTACCCTATATTTTTGTATATGTTTGAATATATATTGATATATTGTCCGTCCCTATTTACATCTATGCACATGTGAAGCTTATATAACAGCATAATGATGCTAATGACCTGGATTCGATGGCAAGCAGCAATCTTAACCTACATACAAACACACACACCATGGGGGGTAGACCACCCTGTATGTGCAGGCGTGCAGAGCTCAGCAGAGAGCACAAACTTGGAAATGCATGTGTTCACTTCTATCCATTTTCAACTTGCATGGGCTTAAAGAAACACTCAAACATATATATGTATAAATATATGTACAAACCTACAATACATGAGACCAAACAAGTAGACTGGCAAAAACACGAGCACACACATTTACACTGGCATTGAGGAGTGACAGTAAAGTGTAAGCCCTGTGATTATAGCCTATAAGAGGATGACAGGAGGGAGAAAGCGGTGGAGGACTGTTAAAGGGGCAGAGGAGGAGGAAAGAAAGCCTGGTTACTGAATGTCTGTTGGCAGAACAACACATTAATAATGCTGCTGTTGTTTTACCAACCGCAACCACCACTGTACTCATTTCACTGGTGATATGTTGTTTGTTTTTGCCTTTTGGTTTGTTAGGATGCAAATGAAAATAGCATTTCCGCCACAGTTCATTCAGTAAAATGGATGAAGAATAATTCATTTATTGATTGGTTGATATCATATCAACCCTGTTAATACAAATAAAGTACATGAATATTAAAGGACAAACTCAATAAACAAAAAAATGAGGGCATCTTCATAAGTTGTCAGTTTGATTCAGTGTCTCATGATTCGATTTCGATTCTTGGGGTCACGATTGGATTCAGAATCTATTTTCGATTGAAAACGATTCTGGATTCATGATTCAAAGTCTATTTTTTAAATTTGGACATACTTCAGGATCTACTCAATCTTCAGTGAGACTGATTTTTTTTGCTGCTCCATTTGGCATTCTAGAGTTAAAGAGTTAGCAGCGAGTGACTGATTAGCCAAAAAAAAAAAATATATATATATATATATATTTTTTTTTTTGGAAGTTATGAATCTATTTAAAGTCTCAAAAGATAAGAGTCTCGATTTTTACATTTATCGTTTTTTTTTCCCACCCCTAGAAATATAACCTAAACAACATCATTTAACATGTTAAACACAAAACAAACATTCCATGTTAGAAGAGGAGTAGGCTGAAATTTACACTTATTTTATCACTCATTATCTACCGGTATACTTGTCAACAACTATAACACAAACATCTCTCCCCAGTGTCAAAATAGTTCATCATTGAAAGGTAGATCGGAGGTTGCACCTAAAATAAAGCTGGTCCATGAGGAATAAGGTCTGTTCAAAACAAACATCGTATTATTGCAAACATCTGAGTTCATCACAATGAATGAGAAGAATTATTCTCTGTAAACAATCTACCCCCTTATTATGTATTTATGTTACAATTCACTTAGCGGACGCTTTTATCCAAAGCAACGTACATCAGAGAGTAAGTACAACACTAATCCATTCATACACCGCCACCGAAGCAGAGGGAGCAATGCAGGGTTAAGTGACACATCGGACTTGTTGCCACAGCCGCTTGTTTATGTATTGGACAGAGATCTGTACAATGGCCATGCTTTCACTTTACTTTGATTCAGTTTGATGAAGTCAAGCTGGAGATTTATACATCACTCAGACTAATCGGTGCCAATAAGTGGTGGAAAGATACTTTAAGTATTTTGGATTCACAGGGGAAATGTTGGGTATGTAATGTAAATCATTGAGCACAGCAGACAGACATAGACACTCTGAGTTAAAGCTAATGCACTCTTTGATAGATTTCCTTTTGCATTTCATATCATTATTGTAATATTGAACAATGTCATCACACTTTGCCTATCCTTTCTGTGCAGCCCTAAATCTATTCCATCCAAGCACTGCCGTGATTCCATGCCAGGTCTGACCGACTCAATCTGGCTTTTTTAAAATGACCAACTTGTGTTGTACACTCTTAGACATCGTACTACATGTCATAAGAACAAGTATCGCATTCCATTCTGTCAGTGGCATCTGCTCACATTACTCTACATGTAGAGAATTTGCTCCAAGTAAGTGCAACCGTTTGTCTGAGCTTAGTCTACCAGATGGCCGACTGAGCCTTTGTTTTCTGCATGTCTTTGAAGAACTACAGGCTGAAGGGGATATTATTATGCTAAATGAAATGGTAAAAGCTATTAGAGCATGTATATGAAACAGACTGGTTCAATCATAAACACAAATATGTGACCACAGAAAAAAGGTGTACAGTATATGATGAACTATCCTTGTTTTAGCTTCAGATCCTTTGGGATTGGAAAACCATGAGTCATAGTGAACTAGTTTTAGGATTTACAGCTAGTAGAGATCGACTTAAAGTGAGATATAAAACCTCCTCTTTTACAAGGAAGGTTGCTATCCGTGTTCTTTATCCCAGCTTTATCAGGCCTGCTGGATCAATGGGAGATAAACCTTTAGCAAACACAGTGACTGACAGACGATCTGCCCACTGCAGACCATACTCATTCAAGTTTCAGTGCTGCCTGGCTCACTCCGTAAAGACGGAACAACTGGATATACAGTCTGCATTGTGTGAGATAACATAGAGGTGAGGAGAGGTGTGAGGGTGAGTAGTGGATCAAACATTAAGGCGTTTTAGTATGGTCTTATTTAAGCTTCCCTCAACTGTATCTCTAAAGATGCTGTATCTTTGGAGGCAGATAGTGTGCCAATCCGCCAGCTGCATCTGGATTTGACTCAGCATCAAAATGTAGTGATGACAGAAACCATGCCCCAAAAGCCTTTTACCTGAAGGTGTCTTTTTTGCACCAACAGGTAAATAAAAATGGGATGAACATGTAACCTTCAAGGTGTATTGCCTAGTGTTAATAATTGACTGTCTTCAAAGGAATTGAGAACTTCTCAGCTCTAAAATAAACTTACACTTTTGCACCTAAACATGTCTAACAGCTCTTAACAGTAGCCTTAAAATATTGAACAAAACACACATAAATAATCCAATGACAGAGTCCAAATGTATTTGCCTATTTTCAAACTTAATTTGCCATGCAAACACACAGCTCCAAACACAAGGTCTGGTATCTTGTTGTATCTAGTGTTGCTTTACAGAACGCTGGCAGGCTTTTGTCACTTGAGCGTTCCTATAGGTGGAAAAAAAAAAAAAAAGCAAGCGAAAAAGGTTGCTACTATCAGGAAGTCAACAGATCTGACTGGTCTAAAATCATCTATCTGTGGGATTATTGAAACAGCCAAGTTTTCATTTAGCCAGTCAAACAGTCAACCTTCTGTTGCAGCAGGTTAAATAAAAAATTAGATGAGAAAGGAGAAGAGGCTGACGACTGGTCCTGAGGGGAAGGGAAGAGAACATGGGAAAAGGGACAAAAAGGAGATGGTTTGTGGTGAAGAACACAAGAACTAAGTGTTCAGCGAGTGAGATAACCAGAGACGGCTTTACAGTAGGTAGTGTCTGAGGAAATCTATATGTTGGAGGAGCAGAGAGAAGAGGGACACAACTGGGTTAATCATCAGTGAGGATGGAGGTCTCAAGAGGGGAGGAGATGTAAAAAGAACGCCACAAAGACAGCCAGATATAACCATTCTGTTCAGGACATTGGACTCTCAACAGAAGCAGGGCGCTTGCCAGTTGGGAAATGTCAGGGAGGTCACGAGGCAGCCAAGTTTAAGTCAGTGGCAAATAAGCATTGTTGGATTTCTTATACATTTTAGAGTTAGAAAAGAGAGCTGGAAATAATGACAATTTAAAGGTAAAATCTAAACTCAAGTTCTCACTGAAAGCTAAGAAAATTCATATTGACCACACCATGATATTCTAAAACCATTCTTATCCAGAGTTGTAGAGCCTTGTACTCTTTTTGACACATTTTTTTTTTTCTCACTTCTGTTGTATTTCGACAGTTGTTTGTTGTCAGGCTCTGTGTTATTCACACTCGTTTCCCTGTGAGAGCAAGTGAGATTTTTAAAAGATCACATGAGAGCACGCTCATACAGTTATCGTCATATAATCCAGGAGTAATGCTTTAAATATTTTCATATCTAGTATGTTTTAGGTTAAAGAGAAAATATCTTTGAAGTTTCTCCTTGTGTAGGTGCAGTATCAATATGACCTTAGAGGATTTGTCTCTATATATTAAGTCTAAATAATAGTAGGGTTCATGACTTCATCTGGCCTGGTTATGTGACATTGAGACAAAGCTGGCTGGCCAAACCGGGTCAGATAACTGCTACTGCATTGCAGGTGAACACCACACACTTACAGGGAGCACACCTGCATGTACACACACAAGCACAGCTACTCTCTTTCATGATAAACTAAAAGGCCATACAGCAACCCCTGCCCAGACATCACAGTCAATAAATCCAGCTCTGTCATTGGCTGCAGGCCTTGCCCAACAGACCTGTCCTACATTTCCTCCTGGCATGTGTTGGATTGGCATTAATGTTTTTGCAGCTGCAGGGAGTCGCAGTGGGGCAGGGGGGTTCGAATATGTTACACTCAGAGGAGAACTGTGGTTTTGTGGACAGATATGCAATGTGCAATATGTGACTGTAATGTCTCTAATTCTTCCTCATTTTCAGAGACACTCAGGCAGGATGCCACCATTTAAATGCTATCCAAAGAGGTGTTAAAAACTAGGTACAAATACTTTACACTGGTTTAATAGTTTTAAGACATCTTTACATCATTGCAACTTTTGTGCATTGTTGATAATAATTTTTATCATTGCATGCCACATATCTAACATTAAGACTGTTTTTTAACTTTAACATTGAGAGGAAAAGTTTGACACTCATTGTCAGAGAAGGTTCAGTGCAGCAAGTAATTCCTGACCCAGCTGATTTGTTAGAGCAAAGGTTTCATTTCATAATGTTAAGGGTAGGTTTTTATTTTATTCAAAGCTTAATTTGAAAGTTAATTAAGTTGGTTTCTAACAGTCTCCTGACCATAAGAGATGAATTTGCATTGCAAAAAAAACCCCCACAGCTGAGCTGATAAGAATGTGCTTCAGACTTAGGGTAACTTTTTCTGTTTTCTCAAATCTCTGAGAAAATTTCAGAGCCTGTATTTATCTGTATAAATAAGTACAGACTGTGTGTTCTTATATCACCTTTGCACAACTTTCTGACTTTTGAGTCATGCCTTCAAGTATTTAGAGAAAAATTAGAAAATAAATATTTCCCTGTTGTTGCTCTAATGCTTTCTTGATAACATTCAGTTTGCAGTCAGCTGAGCACATCATCTAAGCTCCTCTGCTTGGACCGTCTGAATATCTGTGCAAGTGTGTCAGAGAAAGAGAGAGAAAGACAGAGAGTCAGATGAGAGTCCCGTGCTAAAGGCATGTAGGCGTACAGGCGCATGGCCCTCAGCTGCCAAGTGCCTGGGGTGCCTTCTCTCGTTTGACCCCTCCCTTCCCTCGGCTGCTGTCTCCATCTGCCAGTCCTAAACAAACACTTCTCTTCAAGTTGCTGCAACCAGGTCTTCCAGCTCACTGACCTTAACTCCTACCACAGAAATATAACGACAACTAAACTTAAATAAATCCCATTTCTAAATAAGAGCAGCATGTCATCATGAGTGCCATAAACCTGGCAGTAGCAGCACATGTCGGATAGGTCATGGGGCTATAAATAGGACCTAGAGTAGAAGTAGTATGCAGCAGCTCTGCCGCTGCTCTGCTGTTTCACAGAGCTCGGCTCATCCATTAGTAAGGAGCACAGCACAAGCCTTGCGCACCACGAAGTCAGGTCAGATCAGTCCTCCTATCAAATGTACATGCAGGGAGATTATAATGTGGCTCAGAAAAACAGTGGAAAAGCTACAAGCAGCTGCACTTCAACGCCGCCAGAGTGAAATATATAGGGCCAATGATAGCAGAACCTTCAGGTGATTTACTTAATCTGTGTGTGTGTGTGTGTGTGTGTGTGTGTGTGTGTGTGTGTGTGTGTGTGTGTGTGTGACTTTGGGTAACATCAAGCCAATCGCTAGGATTAACTGTTGAGCTTCATGCTAATAGCATCAGGATAATCTAGGGTGGATTTAATCTCATTAAAAGCTCATGACTGCCCTTATATACAGTTAAAATGTGATAAGATTGACAAAATTGCTGCCATGCATGAAGAGACACAGCATTCAAAAGGAAATTTAGAGTGTAAAAAAGTACAGAAATGTTACGCTAATGGCAGTTTGTCTTCGATTATTAAAAATTTGATTTTGTTTTTGTTTTGACACAAAAGGTAAATTATAATAAACTCTTACTGAGTTGTGGACACACTTTTTCGGTAGGTATTACACATCACATTCAAAACGGAAAATACTTGACAATGACATGACAATAGTACAGAACACTGAAAGCAGACGTTCTTCACATCCCCTTAAAGATGTTAATCCGTCAATTTTGTCAATGTTTTCACCTTTCAAACATTTAGGTAGCCTGATGGTGACAAAACAAAAATGACAGAAAAATAACCTTTTCGAAAAGTTGCCACGTTCTCAATATTTTTAGATCATACTGTTTGACAATCATTTACTTGTGTTGTGCACTGATATCAGAAATTTAGATTTTCTTGATTTTCAGAAATGTTTCTTTTAGCTCTGTTGTTTTTGTTCACTTCTGAGGGGCATTATCTGGCTTTTAGCTCTGAAATGCTCCACCATGTTTAAAAGCTAGTCACTTACAATACCTGTCTTTCCTTTGGTTCAGACCAAGTATTATACAGTCAGCTAACATAAAAAGTGCTGATCTTAGGCTGGAAATAACGCTCAAAAAACAGAGATAGTGAACCAAAATAGAAAATGTATTTGCAGTATAAGCTGCAGCGCCATAAAAGTCGAGGTAAACTGAAGAGTCACATGTTACTTCTGTGTGAAGATTCACTTTTTTTTAAGTAACTAGCCGCTTCCAAATCAAGAGGGTCGAAGGTGAATAAGAAAGCTGAAACTCATCAGAGCTCTACATTTAACAAACTTTAAATTAGTGGCTAGAAACATCAATATTGTCATACCATGCAGTTTTTGGGCTTCAAGTAATGATTATCTTCATTGTCAATTAATCTTTTACAAACTTTGCAACTAGTTTTAACCCCCACAACAAACCACATAAATTCATTCATGCACTGCATACACTACTGACATTTTAAGAATTATTTAAAGCTAAGTATAAATGACACAAAAAGGTTAACAGCCAGATCATGTGATCCTGATTGAGACAAACAGATATGACCAGACATTTAAAGCTGATACCCTTCGCAAATGCCTGTTAAAATGCCTGCTCCACCACACTCAACATTTTCACACACAAGCAGAGGCACCATATATGTATGTGTGAGTGTGTGAGAGTGTGTGTGTGTGTATGTGTGTGTGTGTGTGTGTGTGTGTGTGTGTGTGTATGTGTGTGTGTGTGTGTGTGTGTGTGTGTGTGTGTGTGTGTGTGTGTGTGTGTGTGTGTGTGTGTGTGTGTGTGTCTGTGTGTGTGTGTGTGTGTGTGTGTGTCTAAAAGGCAGGGTAACAGTCAAGTGACAGCATGCTGCCACCTGGCAGGGAATCGGCAGTGGGCTCAGGTTACGGGGCTGGAGAGGCAGCAGGAGATTTACACGAGGCAAGTGCAGTGCTCAGAGCCACAGTGAGCGCTGTGCAGCCAGATCACTTCTCATGGCCGTGGCATTTAGCCTTGGCTTTGGCCTAAACCGTTACTGGCTGAGCAGCATGTGACACCAATCAAGGTGCTTCATGTTTCTGTTTTTATTCAGTAAAACATTTATGGGTAATAAATGCAAACTGCGAACTGTCATAACACACATAGATAAAGTAATTCATTTAAAGGTTGGACTTGTATTCAGTGGTAATTATAATGGGTGTAGTTGTTGAATGAGCCTTACTCCTTTTACCAAATGAGCTCAAAGCTTAAAGAATTCAGTGAGCATATAAAGCTGCTGTGAGGACATTTCATTTGTGTATATTTTAGCGTCCTGTTGGACAAAGCAGTGCAGCTCATCTAATGCTGATCCTGCACATTTGCTAGTCGTCTTCAGACAAAGGAATACAAAAAAAAACCTTTCTCAAAGCAATTTCTTCAAAATGCTTCCAACATCAGTCAAAAACCAAGAACCTCTTCAAGTGCTGAAAGAGAAAAGGAGAAAGTCCTCACATTTACCAACCAACCAACAACCGTATTATTTTAAAAGGAAGCTTCCAATTTTCTATTGATCGACACATGAATGAATCAGCTTATCAATGCAGCTCTAGCTAATAAGAGTGCAACAAAAGCTGTTTCCTTCCAATGTGACCGCTCATTCGTCTTGCACACCCATGTGTGATAAAATGTTGTCCCACGCAGCACCATCTAAAAGGATCATTAGTGTTTTGATATTTCTTATATAACTGTCTACACTGTTGGTGGGGAGTTGACCACTGGGACAAAAGAAACTATGAACAATTCAGTCATTCTTGCGCGGTTACACATTGTGGTTAGTAGGTGGGGGGGGGGGGAATGAAATTCAGCTTTACTGTTTTTTAGTGAGACTGTATTTTACAAATCATCAAGTACACTGAACACTAGTTCCCATCTCCAAGACAGTACGTGTGGTCAGGAAATTAAATGTGAAAAAAACCTGTGATGAAAAATGCTGATAGATGGATGTGCTTACCTCTTGCAGATAACTTTTTGGTGTTGATTATTTTGGCAGCATACTCCTGTCCTGTACACAGCTTCACACATCTGCGCACCACTGAAAATGCTCCCCTGGGAAACACACAAAAAACATCCAGTAAGCATTGAAATCAGTGGACAACTTTGCCACAGAGAAACAGACATCCTATTGACATGACATCATACTCACAAAATTCAGGAGTTGCATTATAAATCAACTTTTAAAGAATGTTACCATCTGCACACCTACTACTTTTTAATGAATCAAAAAGAGAGCGGGGCCTGGTCTCATTGAACCATTTTGTGGCTAAGGTTTTGCAGAAAACCTTTTCTGTCAAGCTAGCCAATTCAAGGCTGGATGCAGAACAGACCTGATGTCACTTGCCCACGTTAGCTCCAGCGATCTACGTTCAAAGAACATACTGCCAGAATGTAGCTTCATAATAAGCCCCCATGAGGTTTGTCATACACAGTCAGCATATTCTATATGAAGCATGCGTGTGTGTTTCGCGTGTGTGAGAAAAGCTGAAACAGGCTCAAACACAAACACACATACTGCAAGGAACATAATTGAATCATACTGTCTAACAGGCAAGTCATAAAACATGACTCTAGAGTCAGATTTCATCATGTCACTCTGAATTTGTTATGAGAAAGTATGCAGTCAAGAATCTTCAAATTAAGGTTGCTAGAGCCGAACCCAGGTGGTGAGAGGCAGGGTTCACCCAGTCGCCTGACAATCACAGGTCTGACATACTGTATATACACATTCACGCTCACACCCACACATACGGCAATTTAGAGTCATCAATTAGCCTAATGAATGACAATTTCTTTAGACTGTGGGAGGAGGCCAAAGTACCCTGAGAGAACCCTGAGAGAACCCCAGGGAGAACATATAAACTCAACAAAGAATGGCCTTGTCAGGGATCTTCTTGCTGTGATGTGACCACTCTAAAAAACCACTGCACCACTGTGCACGCCATCGTGCAGCACATTGATAAGTCTTCTTTATTAAATTCATCACGGATGTGATTGGCATCGGTCCAAAAAGCAGGAACCCTCCAAACACACAGATATGTTTCAATGACATTAGATCTTTAAATCTAAGTAAAGTAAAATAATGATCTGTGCCTTGAACCACTTAAATTATGCATTGGCCCCTGTTAACTTAGTTTTTTTAATCTTTATAGCTGTAGGCTGTAGACAAGCAGCATTCTGTAGACTACGTATAGTAAATATGTAACTTATTTACAACATGACTGGAAAATGTTTTCTTTTGTTTACTTGCAAGATTAGTGAATAAATCTACAACTTAAACCTGTTTACAAATTAATCTGTCTGTCAGGGAGTACAGACGAACAAGTGATAATTTTTGTTGTAGTTTCTTGATTCTTGAATTTGGGAGGTGGGGTCAAGTTTTAGTGATAGACACAAGAGTGTCTCCACAACCGTGGCAATTCCCTCACACCTTCCGACATGCGAGAAAGAGAGGCTGACGAAGCACTTCGAGATGCCTCCAAGAAAAAAAAAGACCATGTCTTATTATCTAAGTTAGATGGGCAGCGACTTTCTAATTTTGTCTACCAAGTTCTGGACATCGATGCATCTAAGCTGGTTACAGCCTTTGTTACTAAGTCACAGAAATGAAGCACTTATTTGTTACAATGTTACAATTCACTTAGCAGACGCTTTTTATCCAAAGCGGCGTACATCAGCATTCATACACCGCCACAGTAGCAGCGGGAGCAATGCAGGGTTAAGCATCTTGCCCAAGGACACATCGGACATGTTGCTCAGCTGGGGATCGAACCCTCAACCTTTCGGTCGAGAGGCTTATTTAAAGTGGAACGTACTTTATTGACACAATGTCCGTTGCTTTGCTCTAAACTGGCAGCAGGAGACTTGGAAAAAGTAACAACAGGAGGAGACTTTACTTGTGGAGACACAGAACTCAGCGTAGTCCAGTCTCTCAGCGTTTCATTACTCTTTCAGCACATGGTACCGACAAAAAGCTGATAAAGTTTTGTAATAAAGAATGGCACATATTTCATTAACACTGGAAAACGGGCTAATGCAAAGAATGCTGCTTAAATGGCACAAGCTCTGCTAAGAAAGTGACGCCGTTAAAGAGTGATCCCGTGCAACAATTAGCTCTCCTCAGATGTCGGATGAGTCTTAAAGAAGTACAGAGGATAGCGTTATCGTGAGGGTGCCAAGCCATTCACACCTGCGCTCTTTCCTTTTAAGCTTTATGTGACTGTGTGAATAATAAGATTGGTCTAGGAGAGATATTTTGCAGTGCCGGCTGTGCAGATAAGTCTCTCTCACAGGGAGCTTCAAAGCCGGTGTATTTGACTGGAGTGCATTGTGTAGAAACTCAAATTTATCTGAGCAAGAAGAGGCCTACACATTTGAACACTTTTTTTTTTTTTTTAATCAAAAGCTTGAAGTCTCACTGGGTTCAGTATATTGGATTGAGGCAGGCAAAACCTTCCCTACTAATAATATGTATTACTTGAGGGATGAAATGAGCATGGCTGAAATGCAATGTTGTAAACCTGGTCTCATTCCAGTGTATATGGCTTTAAAGCAGAGACGCAGCTATGTATGCTGATTACAGCCCAATCTTTAATAACCTACCTAATCAGTGTGTAGATAAAAGGCACGCACCCCGTGCAGGACTGAAAGACACTTCTGAAAACGTTGTAGCCTACATTTCACTGGAGCCAGCTTTGATTCACAACAGAACAGTGAACTTAAAATATGACCCAGTTTCTAGGAGAAAAAAAAAACCTTCCATTTAATTATCATTTCGTTACTGCTTAACTCACCGTTCAGCCTAACAAACTATTCCAAGGATATGCTATGACTGTATGCTTTTTGTTGCTAAATACAAATATGAGCAACTGATTTGTTTACAATGCAGTCAGGCTGTACTAAGCTCACTATAGTTATATTGTCAAATAGACATGTTTGGAGCTAACAGGAGTTGAATGAACATCATGGCCCTTTCCGAATTGTCACAGTTCAGTATGCAGTACGTACTATTCAGTATGGAGTTTCAGTATGCTGAACTTTCGTGGTCATTCAGTATGCATTTTTTGGGTCCACCTCAGTATACTGAACATTTCAGTATGGGTACTAACTTCCGGGTTGCGTGGATTAATAGAATCAATTTTTAAGCTAGAATTAACAAATATCTGCCTTCTGTGTGTGCATACTGAATAGTAGGTACTAAATAGTATACAGCACGGATAGTACGTACTGCCTACTGCCTACTGAAAGATTGAGTATGTACTTGGCAATTCGGATACGGCCCATCTCTTTTCAGTTTGAACAGCGGAGCGTTCTTCAGCTCAATGATCTGAACATGTAGCAGAACATCACAGCTAAGCATATTCATTTTTTGCACAACTGGCTGTCAATTTAGCAATACAGTGTTTCCCACAGGATTCCATGCACACCCTGGAGAAAAAATATGTACATTTTAAAGTTAAATGGATCAATTGTGTGCTCTTGTAGTGCACTTAGCTAAATGAATGTAAATACAAAGTGAATTTGCGGTATAGTGTTCCTACTCCTCTTTCAGTTATGATTATCGTTCCTCTCCAGCTCCAGCCTCTTGTCCAAATTTGGATCATTTCTCCACAACATGCTTCAATGTTATGACGTCATACTATTTGCTGCGCAAAAGCATATTTTATTAATAAATTGTAATGTTCAGTATTTTAAATACTTAGAGTATTAACAGCAGCTCAAACAACTTAAGAACATTTCAACAGACATCAAACCTCACACTGAAGGTCCAGACGTGGTTTCTTGTCCGTCCACTTGCATGCGCAATGGCAAATTCCCGGACTCTCGCTCGCCCGTAGCTCTCTCTCTCTCTCCCTCTCCCTCTCAAGTGCGGTCCGCGGACCGACCTTTATCTTTAAATGCTCGTTTTTGACATAATGAGGAAGAGAAAGTCTTGAAAAAAAGGTCTGATCTAATGTGAAGACTTGTAAGTAAACTTAAAGTGCAGTTTTTTAAGACAACAGGTGAGTAGCTGAGCTGCTGAGCTGCTGAGCTGCACAGCGTTTTAAAACGAAATTGATTTGCTCCACTCATTCAGAAGTTGTTTTGCAGGTTCTAAAAGAATATTCAGCTAGGATTTGGAAATCTATTGTTACAACTAGTTATGCTGCTTTGACTGACAGGTTGATCAAACCTCTTTGGCTGTGTTTAAAACCTCCGAAACCTGCGCAGCGATTGAAAAGCTCCGAACGGCTGAGAGTTGTAACACTCTGCAGGAGGTATTAGAAAAAGGGAACGGGCATAAAAACAATCACACATTCCGGTGTAGGCTACTGCAGCCACACATCACATTTAACGGGCTAAACTGTACTTTAAATGTTCTTATAGTTGATAATAATTCCCTGATGCTAGCGGGGCAGATTAGATTATGGCGGGCCGCCATATAGGTTGAGACCCCATTTTCAATATGGCGACCGTCATTGGAGGCTTGAAGCGCCCCCTTCAGTAACCAATGGGTGACGTCATGGAGGCTTTGTCAATGTTTATTTACAGCCTATGGTGCAGACTCACTGTTGGATGGTTTGGCAAACCACTCCTATACAACTGATGTATGCGGATGATACAATTATTACGCCTACAACTAAAGAGGGTTACAGAAAAACATATCACATGTGTTACTTCTGTAAGAAATGTAAACTTAAAATGTATAATGATATTATACATTTATATGTATTTATATGTATGATATTATATGTTGACAATGCCTTGTGATACTGTTTTTTTTGTTATTATCGTGGGATCTGTTTGTGCACCATACCATGTAATATGGTCATGAGCCGTATAAATAAAATGAAAAATAAAATAAAAGGGTATAAGTGGTTTGAGTAAGGCCCCAGACTCTGACCTTTAACTCCTGACAGTCCCAAATGAAAACATCACATACTGTATACCGTAGTTGAAATAGCTAAGCTTTGGGTTTGAGGATTTACATTGTTGTGGCAATAGTTACGTGGATCCTGGCTTGATGCTAAACAGCTAATGGAGCAATCTATTGGTCGATAAAGGTTGCCATGCATGTAGTCAAGCAGTGATAGAGATATCCACTTTACAGCAGCAATGTAAACAAGTCAGTGTGATTTCTTTATTGTTCCCCAGACTCCTCTGCACATTCCTTATAATGTGATAAGATTACTGTAATGCTAAAATGAAGAGAAAGTGCATAACCAGCTCTCAGGAGTGGGTTTGGTGACCTGACTGAACTTTAATGAACAGCTTTCAGAGAAAGTTCACACTGACCGTTCGCTTCAGAGAATAAAATATGGGAGTTGTTTTTGCCTGGTGCCAGTGAACTGCATAGCTTATGTTATCTGCTACCACACAGCAAAAAAAGATTCCAAAAGAAACTTAAGAGTCTCATGCCTATCATGACCTGGCCTTCTTCATTATTTTCCTTTCCATGGGAAATCATACTCTGAAACTGTCACATGATGTAACTATGAAGAACTCGATACCAGACGACTGTGGCTCAGTCAGTCGGGGGTTCGATCCCCATCGTCTGAAGCCACATGTCCGATGTGGCCTTGGGCCAGATACTTAATCAGCGGTGTATGAATGTGTAAGAAAGAGATTCGTTTATACTGATGGACTCTTTACGTAGCGGCCTCTGCCATCAGTGTGTGAATGGGTAGGTGTGACTTGTGGTGTAAAAGCACTTTGAGTAGTCAGAAGAGAAGACAAAAAAAAAACTCTATACAAGTTCATTATAGCTCAAGTCCATTTACCAATACTCATGTAAGCCAATATTCAGTAAAAACACATCAGAATATCTTTAAATACTCAATCTCAAAGGGCATACTACTCTAATTTTGAACATGCAAGCGTCTGAAACCAGAAAAAGTTGACTTTAACAGAGAGACAGAGAGAGAGAGAGAGAGAGATAGAGAGAGAGAGAGCAGTGTATTTTAAGAGCTGTCATTCCGAAAAGAAAGCGCACATGCATGCATGCACACGCGCACCCACACACACACACACACACACACACACACACACACACACACACACACACACACACACACACACACACACACACACACACACACACACACACACACACACACACACAGCGCTGCTCTGCTCTGCTGTGCACTGCCTGGAAACCAACCTTCCACCATGTTAAAAACAGACAACAAGCACCACAAACACATTCAAAACAACTGGTACTCACTTCCCCAGCTCCTCGTACAGCTGATACTCGTCTGTGAATCGCGTACAGGTTGTCGTTGCCATGTCGCTCCCCTGTCTCTCGCTTCTTCTACTTTGACAGCTCCGGAGAGAAAGTGGATATTTGTACTAAATTTGAGTGTGAAAGTAGAGGTCCGCCCAGCAGCTAGACGGCCTTTTGGAGAGGTGAAATGCCTGGACGGAGGCGCCGAGTGAAGGAGGGTTTGATATGCACTGACGAAGTGACCAGGGTGGGTGCTCTCTCTCTCTCTCTCTCTCTCTCTCTCTCTCTCTCTCTCTCTCTACTATCTCTGACAGCAAACCGCGCTCAACGCACCCTTTAGTCAAGCCAGACAAAAGAAGAAAAACGACTTCCAGCTATTATATTCAGAATAAAACGCAACCAAAATATCGAAAACGTAGTCACTAAAAGAATCAGGCATAACAACTTAAATAATTTGTTGCCCAGGGTTTTGTCAATGGAGCTTTTATTTTCACCACTGGTGTGGTTTCTCTCTGTCACAGACCCAACTATGGTTACTCCTCCTCCTCCTGCTTGTTCGGTGTTACTCTGACTGGGATTGAATGTACACCACTTTTAAATTGTCATTACGCTTTTCCTGTCATGCCAAGAAAACCTTATTTAAATTAGCTTTATACAATCTTTTAGGATCATCATCTTTGTTCAGCTTGTTTTGAATGGTCTCTGACTTGTGAAACAGGACTTCTCAACAATGCTTTGTTTGAAGTGTGGGAAGACATTTACTTTGAAGGTTAAAATCTTACATATTCCGGTGAAGTGTTGCTTAGTTCATCTAACTTGACATAGCCCGCTCAAATTTGGATGCAGCTTCACGGAGTGGCGCTGGAGGATAGGTTCTGTATTGCCCTCTAGTGGACATAATGCGCAACAGCAAAGCGCGGTAACGTAATCGAACACACGCCTGCGTGGTGCGTATTTCCAAATAGGGGCAAATATGAGAGAGCTGGCTTGTGCCTTTGAAACGTGCTGCTGTAGGTGTAGTACATGCGTGTGTTTATCTATATTCACGCTGAGATTTTGTAAGTTAGACGGTTTTATTAACTAAACAAATAATTATTTTAACCCTGATATTACTTTTAGAAAAGCATCATTCAGTCATCACAGCCATAGACTTAGTGTGTTAAGCAAGAATGATAAAGTAAAGATGGTTTATATTATATATTAAATATGCAGTTGCATGTATATAGGATTTTGTAAATAACCTTTGTTTCACTCAGTTTCTTACACGATGTGAATGTTGTTTAACAGCCTGCTCCATACTTTTGATTTGCATGCATGGTAAGCTGGTTGATTTAGATTTATTATGCTTTTTTTAAATTTTGTCCTCTGGCCAAAAACATGAAAAATCAGCTTTAAAAAACAACATAGATGTTTATATCTTATTTTGTCTCATGTTTAATCAAAGGACATTACCTCACATCCAATGAAGTGTTGTGCCCAATGAAACAATAATAATAATGTAGATTAGAAAATTAAATAAAGAACTAATGATGGGCCCTTAGGATCATCCTAACCGTTCTCCCACATGTGGTGCCCCTGCTAAACCCTAACTGGTTCCTTATCTTAATAAATCACTATGCGGTTTAGTCTGTTTTTACTCCTTACCCTAAAATACTAAAGAAACATGTTTCTTTTACTGTAAGATAAAATGCCCCAAAAAGAGGCGCTTGTGTTTAACATTTGCTCCAACAGTTCACATCCTCTAAGTCAATGTGCTCCCACCAGGATCCAACAGCACAGCATTCAAAATGCTTAAGGATACAAATTCAGCCAGAGCAGGCCAGACTACACACTACTGCCAATAAAAACAACACATGCATTGACAGATTGGTAAGTGTTTTTTTTTTCTTCGTCTCTCTTTCTTCAGAGTGTCCAGGAGTCTTAGTTGTGTTTGTCTTTTCTGATTGGATATTTCAGTGGTGATAAAATGGGACTAAATGAAAAGTAAAAGCTGTGTTAAGGTTTTAGGAGAGAACAAGGAATCAGTGACTAGAAGTGATGCTGAGGGTTAAAATGAACTACAACGCAAAAAGAGAGTTTCTCTTTAGGACACGTGAAATATTACTACAATGACTCTTCTACTGTTCTGTTCAATTATTTATCAGACTACACTCGAGCAGCCAACAGAGCTACAGTACATTTCTCAATCAGTTAAAGGTCTCTATTGTTAGCGTTGTCTTCTTTCATGCAAAAAAGAAGTGTGCATTTTGTAAATTATGGTTAAATGTAGAGTCAAATAAAAGTTAAAGCAGGGTAGGCTTTAGGGTGCAGCTGTGTGTGATTGACAAGGCCCTGCCGATGCAGCCTGAACAATGGCTTTGTCAGCTTTCATATGTACTGGACAATCTACAGAGACAGCTTTTTATTTGGCAGCGACATTGCTTGAAGCCTGTTTTTTTTTTTGCTCGCCCAAATTTAACATCCCCTTCAACTTCACAGTAATTATTGCCGCACTTTGCGAAACAAGCTAACATATTTGTAGCAGTGTGACTCTCGGGACAGCGATGTTTGTCATTAAGTCCATAACTTTGGTGCAGGCTCGATTATTTTAAAAACTATTTGTGCGAGTAGCCAAACGTTAATGGTACATACAGGTTGAACTTGAATTCAAATTTGTGTTAATTGAAGGATAACTTTTGTCTTCCACTTAAAAATGTGCCAAAGTGCAACCAATGTGGCTGAAGCTCTTTCGAGGAACTTTCAGTTTGTGTTCATTTTGGCACCTCCCGAGAATAAAGCAATATGTTTGATCTCTTTGCTGATCATGTCCCATCGATGCTTAGCAGGTGTTTTTTTTTTTTTAGACACAGAAATCTCATCCTGCTGTGATTGGATTAGAGGCGCACGGATTCATTCTCTAGTTATCGTTTGCTTTTAAAGTCACGCTTTTGCAGGATGATTTCTAAGATACTAAAATAAAGAAATGTCTCTCCTTCGCTGAACTACACTGGAAGACACTTCAACTGAGGTTCATTTAAAGCCTTTATTTATTTATATGAGATTATGCACACACAGAAAGTACTGTGGGCGTCACACAGACACACACACACAAACACACTGCAATAAGTAGTCATACACACATTTTCAAACTGCACAGATTGCATTCGTCACGTCAACATATCACAGCATAAATAAAACCAGGTATATCTTTTCATGTCTATCATGCACTGCCTGATATCAGGCCTTTACAGTGTTCCACTTGACAATTTGAGAATAAGACTTTAGTCCTTACTCATTTGTGTTTTTTAGGCAAATAGAATGTGTGTGTATGTGTGTGTGTGTGTGTGTGTGTGTGTGCGTGTGCGTGAGAAGTCACTGCAGAAACCGGACAGAGTTGACATGGAGATGGTAAAGAAAGTCTGCATATGACGCTCCTCCGTTTGGACTCTTGTCTTCCACCAGGTGACGCTGCAGAGCCTCCTCGCAGGTATCGCCCTGCTTCACCACCCACAACTGAGACAGACATACAGATATCTACTAAGTTTTTAAGTCTTATATGTTCAAAAACAAAAAAACAGTTATTCATGGACATAAGTTATTTGTTTCACGTATATTAACATTGTTATTACTGCTGTTGCTATTTTTAATCCATAAATCTTCATTTGTCCAGCTGTACAGCTCAGGCTTATTTAGTATGAAAACTGAGGCTATTTACATGTATTTGCATTTTGTTCTATGTACGTGCGGAGGTGAGGAATTTGCCAAATTTCCACTGTACACATTAGTATTTTTGCTCAGAGCTTCCCCAACTGAGTCAACTCTCATTTTTCTGTCACATCTGAATATCTGACTTCTGCTACTCTGTGCTCCGCTGTTGTCCTTACCGGACTCTTTCAGCTTCAGTTGTAGCGTTTGTTATGTTCATGTGTGTAATTGGTGTCTGCCTGAACAGCTTTGTACAATTATGTATTCATAGAAAAAAGCAACTTTGTTATTCAAGTCATTGATGTTGGCTGAGTCAAGAGTGCATTGCCAAAATTAAAAAAACCTTCCCCATCAGTTACAGCAGAGCAAACAGAATCTCACCTTGCGGGCACAGGGGGCCTGGGAGTTCAGTGTGTGGATGAGGGATCGAATATTGATGGAAAGAGGGTTGTCTAGAACAGGCAGCTTTGTCTGAGGGAACACAGAAACACACAGGGCATCACATATAGATGGTAAAAAGCGAACCCTCTAATGCTACTGTGGGTTAAGGTGTGGTGAGGTATATTGTCCTTAAAATAAAGTGCTTGTAAAAAATGTTTCACATGATTATACAAGAACATAAATACAGTTGGGGTGCAGGTTTAGCTCAGCTGGTAGAACAGGCGCCCTGTGGACTGAGGCCATAGGTACTGTCGCACTGGTCACAGTTTCGGCTTCCAGTCCTGAAGCTGTTTGGTGCATGTCAATCCCCACCCTCTCATTTCCACTCTCTCTATAACTGCCATATCAAATAAAGGCTAGAAAGCAATAAAATCACCTTTAAAAAAAAGAAGACTGATTTCAAATGGGCATGTTTTATTTTTTTTTTATATTCCCTGTGACAAGGCTAATTCAGTTACCGTTGATGCAGAGATACCTTGTTACAGTGTGTAATGTCTCACCTCTCCCGAGGGCAGCGAAGAAAAGCAACTGGTGTTGAAGAGCTCAACCAGGGTGGTCGACGGGACTTGGGTGCCCACCCAGAGCAGCAGGGTGAGGGGAGCATGAACCAAATACAGCCCACTGGGCTCCAGGCTTGCAGCACAGCAACGCAGAGTCTTCTCTGGGTTCGGAGAAGTGGAGTTATCACCTGATAGTGGCTGCATGAGAGAGATGAGTGAAAAGTTGAATTGATCGTGTGATGACACAGGATCAACGCTCAAAGGGAATTCAGTGAGTGTTTAACCTTTTCACTGTCCGTCCAAGTTTGCTTTACTGTATAACAAAGGATGTTTCTGTGGTTCTCAGTGTCTCGACATTGAACATTTTAAATGACAAACATGCAAAAGTCATGTTTTTGTTGAACCTGTGCTGCCATTTGACTTGTACAGTGTTGTAGTTGGTGAAACAGACGTAGATTTCTTCACTTTTACAGCAAACTAGTTGAAAAACTAAACTCCAATGACATCTAAAAATGTGATTGCAGGGGATATGTTGGATGAGGGTAGATTTTACAGTGTCTTGGATGACTTTAATTGTTCTGTCAAATTAAGTTGAGCCATAGTGCAGCAGTGTAAATCAAAAGGAAACAGCTGTACATGTGTGTGTGAAACACAGAGCAGGTAGGCACTGGTGTCACAGCTCTACAAGCAGCAGATCGCAGCTTTCTTTTTTGAAGTTATTCCAAAGTATGTGACAGCCATCTAAACTGTGTTTCATAAAAAGTGTGAGCTGAAATTATAACTACAAATTAGCATTTTGACCATGAGTTAAAACGTTCTCCCTTAGAGATAGTAAAATGTTTTTTTAAGATACTGACCAGAGGCAGCAGCAGAGGGTAGAAGTGTGTGGAGGTGCTGCGGGTGTCCATGTTTAACACCTGGCAACGTTGCTGCAGCCGTGAGTGGACGGAGCTCCTCAGACCCGGCAGCAGCACCTCGCTCTTCCTCAGACTGTTGATGTAAACAGGAAGAGCTCGCAGGTACTGAGGGAGGACCAGCTACAGCACACAAACAGTAACACAATAAGAGCACAGTACATAAACGATGTCGGAAAAAAAGATTCAAATTGTATCAGATTGTAGAAGAGGTTTTGCAAAGCAGAACTTAAGAGACATTTTACGAGCTTCATGTTATACTCTGCAGTGTGTTTTATGTCTCCCAATCTCACCTGTCCAGCAGACACTGACATCGAGCAGCAGTGTTTGCGGTACGATGCCAAAGCTTGTGTTACCTCTGTCTGCAGTTCCTCCCTCAGCTCCTGCAGAGGGCGCTCCAACACTGCACAATGAACTGGAAAGAGGCACTAATCTCAAAAGATTGCTCAAACAGGGAAGAATATGAGAAACACTACGCTCATACAATATGTTTAATTCTTGTGGCGAAAGAAGAAACTAAAATAATCCAAGATAATTTCACTGCACTGTATGGGATAATGACCCGGAGTATCATACTTTGTTCTTCTAGTAGTCTTTCTCTTGTGTCATGTCATGTAGAACTCAAGCTGTATACAAGCATCGCATTTTCTTAACAGTATGACGCCTCAGCAGTACATTATCAAGAGTATAAGAAACATACTTTTTTTGCTGTAAAAGGTGAGCAGTGTTTGGGCCTGGTACTGCCGAAAAGTGTCCTCTAGGTGGCGTGAGCATCGCAGGGTCAGAGTGTGAACCCTGGTCCTCCTTTCTCCAGTCTGAGTGCTGTAAGACAAAACAGCCTGACAAGCAGGAGCAATTGATTAAGGTTAATAAACACATTATGTTTAAGGGGCATGAATCCAACTACAAAGGAACTGCTTTATTAAGCGTCTCAAATAATTAACCGTCAGATCTTTACTTTAGGACATATACAGATAAAAAGGCGGTCTTATCCATTATTTATGAAAATTAGGACTATTTGACAGAGCTCATTCACCTGTGCTCATCAACCCGTTCACTAAGGTCCAACAAACTGCACTTAGTGTCTGTCCCACTGACAAGTTTTAGGACCCGTGGTGATCAGGTTTCTGAGAACCACGCACCCTAACCTTTGAAATCTTTGGAAGTCTCTACATTCTACTGACTCTGTTGAGTCTTTCAAAAAAAAGGTTAGATGGGCTTATGGGTTAATCATGCTCACCCAGCCTACTTTCTGTGAATGATCTGTGTTTTTTTATTGTACCTGGTCATTGCAGTGTCGTCTCTGCAGGACTCTATGATGTCGCTCTGTGAAAAACATGTTTGTTTTTGTTTCTGTTACTCTATATTCTACTTTTCTTGTTGTAAAGCCCTTTGTAAAGTCTGTCAATTCAACCTGTCGCTGATCTGAATCGTTCATAAAGAATGTGAACTCACCTGTAAGGATACTCCTCTCGTCTCATCCACAGGTCTGCTGTGTGCGAGCTCAACAGCTAGCGTTGTAAACCCATCAAGAGTTGCCATGGTGACCTGGTCCGGGCTTGGACCAGGGATAAAAAGTCCATAGCAGCCCGATACACGCAGATCTGCGGAGACAGGTACAATTAATGGAACTGTAGGTGTTTTTCAAAGGACTCACTCTGCGGAATCACACTTAGAAACTCTCACCTTTGCTGACAAAAATCCTGAGCTCAGCCTTGTAGCCTGTGTTTGTATCTACGATCCTCTTCAGATCAGTGCTGAAACGCTCCCTGTCCAATTCTCCCTGTAGGGGAGATTTTTAAAATGCCTGTCAATCTAGAATTCATGCAGCTCATCTGTATACTTACCATGTTCCAAAAATGCATAATTTTAATCCAAATACAGCTACAAACAGAACTGTGATGTTGCTCTGTGAGCTGCTTTAAATTCCAAAAAAAGAAGATTAATATGTAATCAAATTTTGGTAAAAGTGTGATAGCAATTCATATCTAGAAAAAAGTTTCGGGATCAATTTGACTGTGCGTGTGTGTGTGTAGCTTTAGGATTTTTGAGATGTGTAAATGATTTTCTAACTGCCGGTTAAAACATCATTTAAGACAATCTTTGAACCCTGCTGGAGAACAGATTTTATGGACTTATAAACAAAGGCAATAATGCATTAATGTTAGAGCCACTGTAGGAAACATGACTACATTTCAAGATGAAAAAGATCCTTGACAAGGGTTTTATCTCCTAAATAAAAAAGTAATTTTTTTCCTTATTTGAACTTTGTTTCAAGTTAATCATCTGCTGGCTGTAGCTTTAAAGTTAGCGGACAGTTATTAGAGAGGAGAAAGCGAAGGAAAGTAATGGAATGCATCTCAAACTGTCAAAGTATTTCTTTAAAGGGGCTATATGTAACTTTCAAAAATACTGCGTTTGTTGAGATACTGCATGGCCGTTAGGCGAACTGCACCAGAAAAATTTCATCAGGGAAAAATTTTATACAGGCAACACAGATAGACAGTGAACATCTACTTTTTCACAATATGAAAACTGTTTTTCCTCATTTCCATCAATATGTGGATTTTGCAACCAGGGGTGGGAGCACGCTGGACCTGGCCTACAGCAACATCAAGAAGGCATTCAAGGCTGCACCCCGCCCCCACCTTGGCTCCTCAGACCATCTCTCTGTGATGCTAATTCCAGCATACAAGCCCCTGCTGATCAGGAAAAAACCCCACAGTGAAGCAGGTGAGGGCCTGACCTGAGGGAGCTATGGAAGCATTACAGGACTGCTTTGAATGCACGGACTGGGACATGTTCAAGGCGGCTGCTACGGACAATCACCAGACGTGTGTGGAGGAGTATGCCGAGTCTGTGTCTGCATACGTTTCAGAAGTGCATGGAGGATGTTAGTGTGATCAAGAACATCTCCACACGGGCCAACGAGAAACCCTGGATGACTAGTGAGGCACGTGCAATGCTGAAAGCCCGGAACGACGCTTTTAAATCTGGCGACATGGTGGCACTAAAAATAGCCAGAGCCAACCTGAACCGTGCCATAAAGGTTGCAAAGCGTGCTCACAGTCAGAAAGTGCAGGACTTCTTCGAGGACCCCACGAACACCAGACGAATGTGGCAGGGCATACAAGTCACCACAGACTATAAAGCTACTCCTCCCCCCTGTGACAACAACATCAACTTCCTCAACGACCTCAACAACTACTTTGCAAGGTTTGAGGCACTCAACACCACTCCAGCAAAGAAATCTATTCCTCGCTCCGATGAGCAGCCAATCAGCCTGGACGCAGCTGATAACTGGAGAACCCTGAGGAGAGTGAACACCCGGAAAGCAGCGGGCCCTGACGACATACCGGGACGGGTGCTTAAGGAATGTGCTGACCAGCTGGCTGGGGTTCTCACAGACATCTTCAACACCTCGCTGATCCAGGCTGTGGTACCTTCATGTTTAAAGACTGCTACAATTATACCAGTGCCTAAAAAATCCACAATCTCCTCGCTCAATGATTACCGCCCTGTAGCACTAACCCCCATCATGATGAGGTGCTTTGAGAGGCTGGTAAAGGACCACATTGTCTCCAGACTTCCCCCCACATTCGACCCGTACCAGTTTGCTTACCGCCCAAACCGCTCCACAGAGGATGCCATCTCCTCTGCACTCCACCTGAGCTTACAACATCTGGAAGAGAAGGACACACATGTGCGGATGTTGTTTCTGGACTTCAGCTCAGCGTTCAATACAATCATCCCGCAGCATCTGGTGAGCAAACTGGCCCCCCTTGGTTTCAGCACCCCCCTATGTAACTGGCTGCTTGACTTCCTCACAAACAGACCCCAGTCTGTGCGGGTGGGCAACAACACCTCCAGTGTCATCTCCCTGAGCACCGGCTGCCCTCAGGGCTGCGTCCTGAGTCCGCTGCTGTTCACCCTGATGACCCATGACTGCTGCGCCAGGACCTCTACTAACCACATCGTAAAGTTTGCAGACGACACAACAGTAGTGGGCATCATCCGTGATAACAACGACATGGACTACAGAGAGGAGGTGAAACATCTGGTTGACTGGTGCAGAACCAACAACCTGGCCCTGAACGTCGATAAAACCGAAGAGATCATCGTCGACTTCAGGAGGCGCCAGCCCAGCCACACATCACTCCTCATCAACGGCACAGCAGTGGAGAGAGTTAGCAGCACAAAGTTCCTGGGGGTGCAGATAACAGACACTCTGACCTGGTCCCTTCACACCGGCGCTCTTGTGAAAAAAGCGCAGCAGCGCATGCACTTTCTGCGTCGGATGAAGAGAGCACACCTCCCTCCTCCTATTCTCACCACCTTCTACAGAGGCACTATAGAGAGCATCATTACAAACTGCATCTCTGTCTGGTCCGGAGCCTGCAGTGCCACCGACTGGAAGTCCCTGCAGAGAGTGGTGAGGACGGCGGAAAAGATCATTAAGACTCCACTTCCTCCCATCCAGGAGATCGCAAAGATCCGCTGTCTGACCAGGGCTCAGAAAATCAGCAGTGACACCTCCCACCCCCACCATGGACTGTTTTCGCTGCTGGACTCTGGAAAGAGGTTCCGCAGCCTCCGAAGTAGAACTTTCCAGGTTCTGTAACAGCTTCTTCCCACAGGCCATAAGACTTTTGAACACGAAAAAATAATCCCTCCATTCCCCCTCAAACCCCCACACAGCACTACCTCACTGGACTGTACAATACAATATAACGTGCAATATATTTATCTGTATAGCAATTTTACTCAGAGTTTTTCTTTTTATATCTGCACCTTATTTTTATTTTTTATATGTAAATACATGCTGCTGTTTTTATCCTGCACTACAACGAGCCAAATGCAACGAAATTTCGTTCTTATCTGCACTGTAAAGTACAAGTTTGAATGACAATAAAGAAAGTCTAAGTCTAAGTCTAAGTCTAAGTTAACCGTTCACTTATTAATGGGCGATAAAAACGATTTATACATATAAAAAGTTACATATAGCCCCTTTAAAAAAAGAAGAAGAAGACATTTCAAGTGTTTTGATGGCAATATTTGTTAACATACCTCCAGGTGGCTGTAGGTGTAGAGAGCTCCTCCTGTCAGATATGGAATGTGCCCCGGCCAAGCCCCGCCCACATCTTGCTGGGAGAGAAGGAACAGGTGAACGCCGCAGCCCTGACCCACGCACTGATTGGCCAATGAGATAGCTGACTCTGGCGGCTGAAAGATGGACTGAGGGGAAAAAAAGAGGGAAAAACAGCGATCAATGTTTCATTGTAAGTGAACCACAATAAAGTGACTCCTTAAAACTGTGGGAGAAGGATGATCTGACTAGTATGTGAGTAATTCTGACCCGTGTCCCAAAAATATTTTTCTAGAGACTAATAGTTGTGGGATAGTACATTATACTGTATGGTACAGGCTATAATGTATGTGTGTGGATGTGGGTTAAGTACCTTCGGTTTGTTGGAGCCAAAAAACCCTGAGGATGAGTTTGCATGTGCCATCTCTATTAGAGGGGCAGTATGGAAGAGCAACAGCTTTCCAGGACAATTCAGAGCCTAGAAACAACATGAATAAAGTTTTTATTATTGTCCTTGCAGTGCCTTGATGAAATAAAAAGGAAACAGCAACATTATCATTTCTTTTTGTGCAGCCATATTGAACACAGAAAACGTCAATCAACTTTGAAGAAAACCTGCCAGTGTGAGTGCGAGCTAGAGCCTCACCCGATTAATCGGCTGATATTATCATATCAAGTGAGTGTGTTATATGGATTACAAAGCATTATCACTCTCCAGGCTGTCAAGCGGTGATGCACATACAGGCAGTTATTTTCCAGTTGAGTGATGCGTCTTCATTTTTTTTCTTTTCCACAAATGTATGATAACTGTATGTGAGGGATCAACACAATAAATGTGTAAATCTATCTCTAAAGTTCAAAGATCGATCTAATAAAGATATCGGCTGACAAATCTTAGCAGATTTTTTCTCTCTCACTAATATCAATATTGGCCCCAAAACTCTCACACCGGTCAGGCACTAGTGTGAACAGTGATTACTGACCTGCAGCACAGCTAGCCCTGCTTTGACAGGCAGCTCTATAGGAACTCCATCAGAGTCATCACTCTCTGGACCAAACTGAGGAATAAGCTGTAAAACACTGAACACACAAACAACAAAGAGGTGACATGCCAAAGAATTAATAAATAAATAAAGTGATAAAATCACCTTAAAAAAAAAAAAAACAGGAAATGCCCGTTTATAAAATGAAGTATTTAGGAAATGTTTCTTTACTTTCTGGAGATGACAACATTTTTGTTTAAGGATTTCAATTGCGTGAGATATTTTGTAAAGTGTCTTGAGATGACATTTGTTATAAATAGGCGATATACAAATAAAGATTGATTGATTGATGATCATAGAATAAACATCAGCCTGTAGTTTACTTAACAGTACGCACACAAAAAAAGGTACAGGGGTTTTTTATTGACTGCCATTGCCTTTTTAAGTGAGTGAATTGTGTTTGCCTTTTGCTTTTTTATCTACTGTATTTATTGACCACTGGCCTCTTACTTTGTAGTGTCTTTTTATGTTGTATTGATTGTTGGTTGGATGAAAGTACTGTATGTTTTCCTGCTGAATGCAAAACAAACTCTCCCTCTCACTGGGATAATAAAGACTACCTTGAACCCTGCAAGTTTATGATCATTCAATGCAGCGAGGAGACAGACGTTTCATAACGAGGCTCTGTGTGTTAATCATGTTGATCTTTTGTCTGTTTTTCACACGAGTAAGAGACTCGAGTCTGCAGTATAGCTCTTACTTTTGATGACAGTAGGAGCCCGTAGAACTGTGGAGGAGCATACGTTTTCTTACAGTCTATATATAATCTATATTCATATTGCTTCAGGTCTCTCTCTCTTTGCATCACAGTATGTCATCATTAAAAAAGGCTATTTAAGGTGAAAGAGACAATGTTTAACTTGCAGTTTAACAGAACATGAGCCTAAAATTGAAATTTTACTTAAAAAGAGTGATGAACAAAAACATGAACAGAATGATGTCAGCGTCTTTGCACCAATAGAAATACAATGAAAAATGGTTAGTCAATTTAAAGTTTTTGATACCTGTCGATACCATCTATACAGTCTTTCAGGGTCACCAGAAGTCCCTCCCTCACAGGAAGCTGCAGCTCTTCTGTCTCTGTGATGACCAGCATGTGTGGGCGGGACAGGGCGGGGCTGAGGTCATACAGGTGGATCTTACTGTCATATGTCATCAAACCTACGCGGATGTCTGTCAAGTCAACTCCATCCTCCCTACAATAATAAGATGAAACTATTAGAGAAGATTGCTCGCTGGAAACATGATCATTGTTTTCTTTTTTTTATGTGTTTGAATATAAAGTTAAAAAAAGTGAGCGTGTAAAACCTTCTCAGGGAGGTGAGCAGAGTGAGAATTTGTTGTGTTGTAAACTCTAAATGTCCTCCTCTTAGCGCTGAAGCAGACACATCGATGGCGAGGAGCAGAGCAGCAGGTTCACCCTGAGAAAACATTCAAATATATACACACATGATATCTTTCCCCGAACAATGATGAGATTAGAGATTTCTCTCTGTTCCAAGGAAGTAATTATCCAAACACTTTATTAAAACATAGCTGCAGCAGATCACTGTCAATTACTTTTCTGTTGGTCAAAAAAGAGGAAACAAATGGCCACTACAAAATATGTTGACATTTTGTCATAACCTCATTTGTTCCAACCAGCAGCCAAAACCACGACAGGAAAATCAACTTGCATGATATGAAAAACAGAAATGAAACATATTTTCATATTTGAGAAGCAAATGTTTGATTTTAATACTCAATAAATGTCCCAGTAATCACTAAATAAATTAACTGAATGGTTTTAGGACATGGAAATCCTCACGAAAAGGATGACACGTGAAAATTGTGTGATGTGACCCGTTATCCCCGGGGTAAACATTGCTGTGCTGATAAAATGTTGTGACGCACATTCAGGATCTAAACTGCTGCTTCCAATCCCGCACAGATGTGCACATATTGTATATTTGACAAAGTCCATGTTGAAGAGCAGCTCATGATGGCTAAGAAGTGAATCCAAACTAATGTAGCAGAGGTAAACTAACCTTCTGAGGGCTGAGAATCTCATAAGACCCCATACTCAGCTCAGGCCGCTTGTCTTTATCCACCCGAACCCCCTCCACCCCTTTGGTGGGCTGGTAGTGTTGCCATGGCACTGAAACACAAGAAAAGAGAAAAAAACACTTAAGAAAAAGGATCAGCGTATGAGAAAAAATACTTGAGGGTGGGGGCTGAAGTTCGACCCATTGAAATGGATTATGTTTAAGTTTTGGACTCGACGATTTTTAGAAACAACGCCACAGACGTTAAGACAGTTTTAACAGATTAGGAAACTTAAACTATTTGGCTAGACCATGGCCACACATCTGCCGTTTGAAGAATGTGTGTTACTGCTGTTTTGGTGTAAAAATAACACTGCACCAATTGTGTGACCTTCACTGCTCAAGTGTAGTCACTTTCAGCACTGAAAAACACAGCTGCATGGTACATTTGAGACTTCCGATCATGGCAGAATATATGTGTCCTTGTAAGGTGTGGAGGTTTCAGTGAGTCAATAACGCCCAGACGTGATTTGACTTACATTTAGTTTGAATGTCGGAGGAATGTGGACCATAATGTTGACATGATCCAAACACCCTGCTGTGTACGTCACAGCTGACATCGTCTTCAGCTAACAGGTCCAAACACAGAGGTTGCATGCAAATGTCACCTTTTCATCGCCATGCTCTACTGTGGACCATACTCAAGCTCAGGGAGGAAAGTGGAGGATTATTTAGACAAAGGATTGGCTGTGACAGGCCTCAAATCGGACCACTCCCCCCGTTCATTTGTTGTGAAAGGGGTCAAACTGGGCCCAAAACCATCTAGTGTGTGGCCATCTTTAGGCATGCTTTTTAACCTGGGGTGTAGGTATTCACTTTCTGAGGTATCCCTCTTTAGAGAGCACTGTCATCTTCATTATGTAATATGAATGTACTGTACTTTGTTTTGTGTTCCTATTTTGAGCATCGGCCATTCTTTGTGGTATTGTATTCCTAAAAGATGTGCTCTATAAATATAATTTGATTATAACCAGAGTAAGAGCACGGGGTGTAAGACAAACGGTTCCTTTTCACTGGAGCGTGTGAAAATTAGAATACATTTACCCACAGTCTGTGTTTTAATCATTACCTTTATGGTTAGGTGTTCAATGTTAATCTCACCTTCACTCAGTTTACCACAGAAAGGGCAGTAAAACCTCTGACCACAGTCCTGCCAGCCCATGGCTGGGCACATGGAGGCGCCGCACCAACCGCAACTCATAACACGCTCCGACTCCTTTATCACTGTCAGTGGCTTCTAGAGACACAAACACACACATGAATTAATAAATGATTACATCGCCATACAAATCTTCATTTAAAAGAGGTTTTTGTAGGGTTCCATAAAGAATATCTCCCATGATGCTTTATTTTTCTTGATTTTTAAGTTCTTGTCTCATTTTTTTTTTTACTGTGGAAGATTATTTATCAGAAAAAGCTTGAAAGCTACAAACTGACTTCTCCAGCATTTTGTTCGGTCAAAGGAGTGACCAGCGCTCCCAGAGGCAGCCGGCTGAGCAGGGCAGTCTGCCCATCACAGGGCACTGAGTACGACATGGAGCGGATGGCTAAAGGACTCGCGCTTCCTATAGTGCAAAAGAAACATCCACATGACATTAAGGTGTATTTACAGTGAAGTGAAGCTTACTGAAGTGACAGGAAAGAATTGAGGAAAGTAGAAATGAACTCGAAAAAATAAAAAAGATAATTTTAGAACTGAATGTCCATGTCTGCATCGTTCTTAGAATAAATATGCTTATGTTGCATTTGCTTCTCTTACTTTAGATATTACTGGTCTACATCCATAAATAGTGCTTGACACATTTAATCTGCAAGTAAAAAAAAAAAACTGCATGAGTCACAGCAACATTTTAGGCTCAAAGAAATGTTGATGCAGTGTTTGGAAGCAGAGTCAGTTATTCAATCTTCTCTTCTTTTGGTACATAAAGAAAGCAAGTAAACAGCCGCTCTCCTACTGCTGGAAAATGTAAATTAAATAATCAATAAAAATATAAACCAATGCTTTAAAAGATTATTACAATAAGTGTTAATGTAGGAGCTGTGCTGTGTGTGAAGGAATATGCAAGATGAACGGAGAGTTCAAAAAAACATACAGCTTGAAATACAGACATAACCTTGCGCCAATATGTCCCCTAATGGAGAGTTGGAATGAATACGTGTGAATACAAGTGCACAACGGTGAACATGATGCAGACAGTGAAGTGTGTTTACCCCTGTCCTCTATGGCACAGGAAGTAGTTGCCAGAGGAGGAACGCAGGAAAAAGGCTTGGAGACGAAGACCTTGCCCTCCCACTCCAACCGGTCATCTGCCATCACCTTTACCTGTGACGGACAGAAAGAGAGAAACACATGTGTTTGAATGAGCAGGACCTTTCTTTTCTTTTTCTTTTATTTCTTTGACCTTTATTTTACCGGGAAGTCCTGTTGAGATTTAAAAAAAAATCTCTTTTACACGAGAGACCTGGCCAAGGTTGCAGCCCAACACAATCACAAACACGTGGGAGAGTGAATGACAAAAACTTACAGCACTAGGTAGGAGCTCTGGGTCCAAGCCGTAACGAGACTCAGAGTTAGGAGACTGCAGAGATAAAAGGGGAAAATCTTATTCTCAGAACTTGAAATTATTTCACACATCAAGACCATCATTTGTTGGATTTTTTTTTAAAGCCTGCATATTTCATATGATTACAAAATATGCCATTATGGGTATTTTGTAACTTACAAAATAAAAATCTGGTGAAAAAAAAAAAAGATAAAAGTTTTCATCATTTAAGCTCATTGAGTCACTTTTTACATATTTTATAATAAATGCATAAATAAAAATACATTGAAAATAAAATAAAAAAACATTATCTAAGGTAGGAGGAAAGCCACCGGTATATCTACAGCCTCTCTTGCTGGAGTCAAGGATATAACTAAAATGTCTTTATTAAATCAGGGAATTTAAGGTAAACCCATAAACAGGAAAGGAAGGACTTGATTACATAAACTTATTTCAGTGACTGAAAAGACATTAACTTTGGATTTTGACTTGCTGTTTGAGCAAAACACATTTGAGGATGAACATCAAAACTTTGATGAGCATTTTTAGATATAAAGTCACAAAAAAATGAAGAAACTCTGCAGATATTTCAATCCAATCCCATATTTCTGTCTGTATGTTCCTCACCTGTGGCGAGAAGCTCCCATCCTGTACAGCTGTATTAGTAACAAACTCTTTAGAGGTTCCTGAGGAGAAAGGAGGGGAGTGATTTTATCTACCGTTAAGTGATTATTTTGTAATGAGAAGGTCTGCAACAAGCATGTAAGTATGCCATTTACATAAACCAGGTGGACCTACTTCCAGGGTGTTGTTGAAGTGTGGGTGAGGCATGATAATGGGTGTCAGGGGCCTCCCTGTTAAATGAAGGCTGAGGTGAAAACTGTGGACTCTGGCCCACACATTGCCCGAATGATGGAGAGCTGATGGGCAGGTGTTTCAGGTGAGGTGACTGAGGTCCGTTCAGTGATTCCTGGTGTACGTATGGAGGCTGAAAAGCTGGAGACGCTGTTTGGTAAGGGCTGTAAGGGGAATAAAAATGCATTTGAAAAGGCGGTCGAGGCTGAGTCCCTTCATTCGTAAGAGGGAGAGAACATGGAGGTAAAATTCTTTCATGGCTTGAAGCTGAAACCATTAATGAAACACGAGCATCAGGATTGATTTGTTTCCCGCTCTGCTCAGCATCACCAGCACATGGAGGACTGTGATGGGTGTTGTATGGATAGGTGGTGTTGTCACTCTGGCAGCCCTGACTGGATGCCTGCTGGTGACCCACGCAGGTCCTCTGGTCAGAAGGAGAACCCAGGCTAAGATGCTGAAAGCTGAGCAGGGGGTTGTAGTGGGCTCCTTGAGGTGAAGCAGGGGACCAGCCATTCTGGCCCGCCCATGGTTGACTTGGTGTCTGGCTCTGATTGGCTTTGGGGACGTCCATCATAATCCATTACCATCACTGATTGGTAGGTTTCTCCTCTGAGGCGGAACTCTGTAAAGGTAACATGGACGAGGAATAAAAAAATACCATGGGTGTTGTGTGACTGAAGGTTTCTTTTAAAACAGGTGGAGCCCTGTATGACAGCGGTGACAGTAGATAGTGAAAAGGTTATTTTGCCATTAATTCATCGTTATTGTTGTTAAATTATAGCCTGCAAACGTCAGACAGTGTGACTATATCGCAGTAATGGTTGCTGTCACTAAATGGATCGGTCACAGGAGGAAGAACCAGGGAAACCCACAACGTACCTTCATGTAAAAACGCATGATTATAAAAACCTGCAGAATAAATCAACCTTAGTGTTTAATTGTATAGTCAGCAAGCATTATTAGCCCACAACACAGATGCTCTTGTTAAAAGTCTCGACTGCCAGCGTCTCTAACATTTCGTCCTGTTATTGTAAACTATGTCCTAAAATAAACAACCTTGTTTTTATCTTATATAGAAAAGAACATAAATAGGATGTAATACCTTTAAGCATCATCGTAAAGCGGGGTGTTGCGTGCAGCACTTGTCGGTAATGTCTTCATTTCGTCTTCTGCAGCGGAAGTGAAACATTTACAGATATGTTAGAATCACTTTAAAGCTCGTATTTGCTTCAAAGTTGAGAAAGTCTATCGTGATTTCATATTATTTTAACCACCACTCAACCATATTTATCAATTAACCCGAGCAGGAAACGTCATCCTCATGATAGACAGGATTAGGAAAACGCATTCCGCCTTCCCTTTCAAAATAAAAGTCTGTAAGCGCTGGATACTAATTATTCATTGGTGCCATTAAATTACTGTTAAATTAATTGGTTTCTGCAAGGAATGGTATATTAACCGTGAAACTTTAATTTATCAAAGCATACCAAGGTATAACTTAAGGTGTGTAGGCCCTCGAAGGTTCAGGTAAGAAATTAAAAAAATAAAAAACCCATCGGTTTACAACTGTGAGCAAGGATTTGTAAACATTGATGGGCTCCACACATTCAGGCTTTCATTCAGTCATATTAAAATGTACAAATGAAGGGAACATTTCATGTAAAACAAGATTCTTTTTTAGAAATAACAAACAGCTGCTTCAAAAAACTCTTTAGCCAGCAACTTTCAGCACCTCGAGAAGCCCAATAAAAAACATTTTAACTGTTTAAAACATTAGGAGTTATTGTACAATGGAATTATATGCATACATCGTTAGAAAAGTAGTAAAATAAAAAACTCATAGCTTACGAGCTTGCTATTTTTAATGACAGTAATTTCAAAGCAAAGTATACCAAACGATCTGGAATGGAAATGCTCACATTGTTGTACTATATAAAAGTGAAAAAGACAAACAGAGAGCTGCGAGTGATCAAATCAATACAGAGGTATTTTTTTTACTTCAGCAAATTATCACATCAAAAAAACAGTACTGTGTGGTTCCACTTTTCTCAGTCAGTTTTTTTTTTTTTTTTTTCAGATTTGCTTTGTCTTTTCAGGGCAGTGATCCTGTTTCTCACATAGTCCTTTACACCTTTCCATGAGCGGCTACTCAGGGCGTCTGGCTCATCCTCAAGACAATTAACACAGTCGTCCTTCTGAGGCACCTTGTGTCCTCGAATGAAACGCATCATGTGCCTTTCAACGGCTAGAACCTCAGCTTCATCCCATGTCCTATGAATCTGCTTACTTTGTGAGCCTGTGGAGCGAAAAGGGAAACATGGTGAACTTTTGCCATGACTAACATGACTAATGTGTCTTAATCATAAGGTTTAAGGTTTTAGCCATACTTTGACATCAAATTACGCATCAACAGTAAAGTAGACAAAGAAAAAAAAAATACTTTACACCAAAACTTCTTTGAATGGCTCACAATTAAAAAGGAAATGCTTTGCATTTTTGTTACTAATCACCATAACTACCGCACCTTTTTTATCAGAGTTGGCAGATTGTCGCGGTGTTGTCATGTTGTTGCCTCTCGTTTTTCCATGTGCTTGTTGGTTGGATGTTGATGGTCCACTGCATGCTCTGGAATGCTCATTGTGATCCTGTGATGCAGCTTCATGTAATCGTGCTGTATAAAGAGCAAAAAGGGAATGTTTAATTTTAGATATCCCATAATACCTATAAATACCTATATAATGTATAGGTACCTGGTCAAATTCATGACTAACATTTAAGTAATGCCATCCATTTATTCTGCAGGATCTCAGGGCTGCAGTCACCAAACAAAAACTGCAAAGCAACATCCAGCACTTTGCAAACCGTTTGCCCTCAATTCACAAAGAAATTTGAGTTACAGAACGTCAAAAGATCCCAGCAATGTTGCATTGGTGATTTAGAATGTTTCATAGTTATAATTACATTTAACAGACTATTTTGTCCAAAATAACATACGTCTGAAACAAGCAAGGCTCTAGACAAATTATGTAAATATCAGATATACCAGCTGTTTGACCAGAATGTTTGATCTTTATCACAGGGAACATTCAGAAACCTGGTCATAATACGCAGGTTCTGCAGTTCCAAATACTGAGAAAAGGTAATTGTTTCTTAAAGTGTGCTGGTTATGTAATTCTCTTTAATCATTGAAACAAGAGCATTTCATTTTGTTTTCTTTAGTAACAAACTTACGAGGACATTTTTGAAGATATCATTTTGAATAATCTTGATAAATAAAATCTTACCCATGAAGTCCGTCTTGACGTCTTTCAGCTGCATGTCGCTGTCCTGTCGCAGGGCTTGAACTGGATTATTAGGACCTAAAATTTGGTTGGCCTCATTTTCATCCAGGTTTATTATTTGGAGCATTTCTGCATAATGCTTCCTGATCCTTTTTAGAGTCAGTACTTCAGGGTGTTTAGCGCCACTGGCTTTTACAAAAATTTTGAGGCACTGTGACCCAAGGTAGGATGTCATTAAACGGGGTCTGCCAAACAGAAATGGGTTCTTCTGGGGCACTCCACAGGTCTCCCGACACTCCACCAGGAGCTCCAACGCTGACTCGAATGACTGCTTTAGGAAGATCGGGACATTTCTCCCACACTTCCCTCGTATGTCAATTCTAGTGAAGTACCCACACATGGCTCTTTCCAAATCGGAAACGGATACGTCCAGGCCAGTTTGCGAGCTCGACTTTTTCCGTGACATAAAAGCTTGCAGCCCCACAAATGACACGTCTCTGGCACCTCTCCTGTTGAATAGTATTGTCCGAGCAAGTATTGCCTTTGCCAGGGCACAGTAGTTTTCTTCAGAAGGGCTGTCTTTGAGTGTTTTCTCAGCAACTTCATGAACTTTCTCCAAGTGGAAATTCAGCTGCTTCACATCTCTCACAAACGGCACCTTTTTGTTGTCGTTGAATTCGGATTTTCGGATCATTTTTAATGCACCTGAAGAAATGAGCTTGGTCCATTTTTTCTGGTACACCGACAGGAAATCGCGCGCAGACTTGGCCTTACATTCGTCCCCACACTTGACTGCGTTACCCTCGACAATACTGCAGGCCTTCTGTAAGTCGTAGCCTAGCTTGACAGCAAGTGAAGGCACTTTGTAGGTTTTTTTTTCTGGATCGTAGCCAGCCAGAACTTTGACTGCAGATATCACATGTGGGAAGTTTGACGGCGTGAAGAAGTCCTCCAGCTTCTTCAGAGAACTTATCTTTTGAGCTTCCAGTACAAGTCTTGCTACCTGACGAAGGTGTTGTCTTACATATTGGTGCTTCTTCTCGTTAGAGCCGTGCTCGGAGAACAACAACTCACCAAACTGCAGGAGAACACTATCGTCCATGATGGTCCGTGTCACGTCATCATAAATCATCACGGACAAAATGTTCTTCAAACCATCAGTTATGACAAGGCCGTCTGCAGCTTCCATCACACACAGCAATGCAGTACGTCTTCTCTCACCCTCGGACTTATCTTCATTCTTCACTTTCTCAGGACACATTTTTATGTGCCTTCTTATACTCTTAAAAAGACCTCGGCAGTAAAGACAGTGAAGAAAGTCTTGTGCTTGTCCAGTTGAATTCGGGCGTTTTTTGGCAGCAAGTTGGCCCTTCCCCGTTTTCAAGACAACTTTGTTATGAGCAAAATTCCCTTGATTTATTAGTCTTTTCCATATCTTCAGCCTGTCTCTGGACTTTTTGGGATACTGAAATGCAACTGCGACCTCTGGTTTGTCACTGTGATGCTGCTCCAAATGGCGTGACATTTTGAGAATTGGCTTGGAGCAAAACAGACAGTAATTCCTTCTATAAACACGTTTCTCTTTACAATATGAAGTTGGCGTCACTGCAGCTTTTGCAGACTTCTTCCAGGAAAAGGCTCTGGGCTCCTTTAGAGAAGTGACATCTTCAGTCTTACACTCCACACTTTCCAGTTTGTCACTTTCTTGCGCTGGGAGAACAGGTTTTACGTCTATGGGGCTTGAGGGTCTGCTGTGGCTGGAGTCGTCTGAAGAAAACCCGGCCGGGTCAGGTATGAACTCGGAGAAGTCATCATCACTCAAAGGATTATCAGGATTACTGTCATCCTCTAACTCTGCAGTGGCACACTCTTTTTTCTGCAATAAACAAACAAATGAAAAATACACGGTTGAATGGAGCAGTAAAGTTTATAAAAAGTCTGTGATTTGAGCAAATGTAGTCATACATATTTCTGTTAATTTCCAAAGAACTGCTATTAAAATAGAACAAATTAATATTTTTTTATCAACTTCAGCCCTGCTCAAAACTATCAAATATTGAATAATTATCAGGAATTTAACCCTTTAAATGCCAATCTGATGACATGATTCTGGCATTTAAAGGGTTAAAATGAACCTGTTGAACTGGTATGAACTGTTGACATGTCAGATCTGATTTTATTCTGAGAAGCATTTTTATCCAAACATTAAAAAGAAATCAGGTTGTCAAACCTAAATGTGGGCAAAACCTCATTTACAATATCTGTGTGCATGTATTTAAGTTACTTCTTAAAAACACTTGTTGTCAGAGAACCTTTCCTCATTTGACTTGATTTTCTTTTCATTTGAAACCCTCTGTTTTTCGTTTTCTTTATAAATAGTATAAAAAGTATTTTTGTTATTCAAAAACCTGGGAAATGTTAAACAACTCTGCGATCCACGATTGCTTGATGCCAATACAAAAAAAGCAAACAAAATTATTTGTCCAGAATTGAAATAAATATGCATTTTAAAGAGGCAGTTTTTCTTTTAAATCAAACACCTACCTCTGCCTTTCTATCAGACAGCTGGACCTGCTGGGCATCACTGCTCTTAGATTCTTCACCCTGAGACGAATCTTCCATTGATGGAGGACACTAAAAATAAAAGTAAACAATTTTATATTTCAGTATTTAAGAGGGATATGAACTGTTGTACATATTTGCAAATCAAAGGGTACAATCTGAAAACCTTAACCAACCTGATTAGCTGGGCATGGAGGCGGCCCATCGCTGCTGTCTTCTGGAGGTAATGATCCCAGCTTCACAGAGAAACAAAGAGAACTTTAAAGCATGTTGAACAATCTCTAATAATGTACCCAACATGAATTAAGCAAAAACGTTTGAAGAAGAACTGGGTAGCATCGATCTAAAATAAATATTGGCCTTCAGACACAAAGAAGCTTGGACACACTTACAGCTTTATCCAGCTCGGCCAGCTCTTGGAGTAGTTTGTCACGCTGATTCAAAAGCACCAAACGCTGTCCTTCGTTGCTAACCTGAAAGCAGATTTTAAAAAACTGTTAGTGCTCTTAAGCAAAGCTCAACACCTCTGTTACT